ATAATGAGAACAGTAAAGCATTCTTTAGAGTTTATCATACTATGTTATTCATTTTTATAGATTCTGGGGCTGATGTTGAACCTTCAAAGAAACAGGAATTGTGGAAAACAGCCTCTCTGGACCGCAATACTCAGCTGAACCAGGGACAGGTTGTTAAAAGGTACACCAGGTGGCTGTATATGCCTGTATCTACACCCTTGTGTTATTTTATACAGTTGTTTTACTTATTGGATTGAATTCTGGCAGCAGCAGTTCGCACTTTCGCTCTCTCTGGAGAGCCCTGTGATAAAATGGCAACCTCTCCTGTCTGGTGTTAATATTCAATTGTCAGAAGATTTAAGTTGTTTCTTTTGTTTGTTTATTTGTTTGTTTGTTTTTGTTTGTTTGTTTGTTTGTTTGTTTGTTTTTTGGGGGGGGTACTAGCATGGCACATATCTTTCAGCTGTGTATGTGAATATTTTTCTTTTTTTAACCTCAGATCTGGATCTCATGATGGTGTTACAAGTGAACAACAGTCCTCCTCTCCAAAGCCTCAGCCTCCCTCACCCAGCAGGTGATGATGCTAGCACACATATGCACCAATGAATACCTGAAATATTACCACAGATCAGCAGATTGAAGATCCATTAATGTGGGGAAAGCAGAGTTTGTATCTGACTAACTGTTCCCCTGCTCTCTTTTTTGTGTAGGTGTGTTAGTGGAAAGAGACTGTGCACTGGTTGTTCTCAGCCTCTGGGAAAAGGCGCTGCTATGATCATAGATACGCTGGGACTGTTTTTCCACATGCACTGTTTCAAGGTTAGCACGCTCATGCAGATTAATTAGATGATTTTATTTTTCCTCCATATCGAAGCAGATACGCAGAGATCACCTGAGCACATCTACACCCACTAGCCACTTTATTAGGTACACCTGTTCACCTGCTTCTAAAAACGAATACCTATTCAACCAGTCCCATGGCAGCCGCTCAGTGTAGACATGGTCAAGATGGCCTGCTTATGTTCAAAGTGAGCATCAGAATGTGGAAGAATGTAGTTTGCGTGGCTTTGAAGGTGGCCTGGTAGCCAACACTAACTCAAATAACCACTTGTTACAACCAAGTATGAAAAAGAGCATGTCTGAAGGCACAACATGTCTGATTGGAAGCAAAAGACCACTCCAGAGCCACTCCTGTCAGCTAAGAAACCTTAGACACAATTTGCTCTTTTAGTCATAATTGGACATTTGAAAACTGGAAAAACATTTCCTGGTTTTATGAGTCTCGATATCTGCTGCAACATTAAGACATGAAAGCATGAATCTATCCTGCTGGGTTGTGTAGTGATGCGGGGGATATTTTCTTGGCACACTTTGAGCCCCTTAGTGCCAACTGAGTATCATTTCAACATCACAAACTATCTAAATATTGTTGCTCAGTATTGTTGCTGACTATGTCCATCTCTTTATGACCACAGTGTACCAGTCTTTAATGACTAGAGTAGCACACCATATCCCAAAGCTGAGATAACCTCAAACTGAGCATCATCTCATCTTCACTGCCTACCTGACAATTTTTGCTGACCATCTCCATTCTTTTATGGCCACAGTGTACCCATCTTCTGTTGGCTACTTCCAGCAGGATCACACACCGAATCACAAAGCTCAAATACTCTCAAACTGGTCATTTAACACGACAGTGAGTTCACTGTACTCAAGTGGCCTCCACAGCCACCAGATCTCAATACAACAGAGCACCTTGCCAAAGTGGTGTGACAATTTCAATGAGAGAAACATTTGCAAAATTTGTACAGCTGAAAAATCTGCAGCAACTGTGTGATACTCTGATGAATGTTTCCAGCACCTTGTTGAATCTATGACAACTGATGGCTTAAGAAGCATTTCTGAAAGGAAAAATAAGGGGTGGGCAAGGGGGTCCGATCTGTTAGGTATACATAATAAAGTGGGTGAGTTTATATCACAATTATGTCCAAGGAAGAGAACACATAAAAAATTGATGCACAACAGGAGTAAAAATGAGAGTTTTCAACATGAAGACAGTCCTGTGTGTACATAATGTTAATTGCCGTATTTCCAAACGCAGTGTGGACTGTGTGGTGTACAGCTTGGTGACGCCACTGCAGGGACTGACGTACGGATTCGTAAGGGAATGCTGAGCTGCCACGAGTGCTACATTGCATCTCGGGGTGAGAAGACACGCACACCCACACAAACCAGCACAGAGGGACTGCATCCTGTCCTGCACACAGATGGCATACAAAACACATACCTAGCCTGTGTGATGTCACCCGTTGGTTTGTGGGCTCCATTTTGACTTCAGCTTTTTGACTGCTAACATCTTTTTTTTGTTTATCGGATTTTTGTAATGTCTGTGGTGTCTGAGTAACTTCTATAGTATGAGTATATACAGACATCGTTTCTGTCTTTATCTCACATACCAAACATTTTAGATAGTACAAACCATTTCAGTGTAAACTTATTATATGACTGTTAATGTCTGTTTCTGTTTGCAGGCCGAGGTCAGCCCACCACACTATGATGACCACTGTTTTGGAGCTGGACCCTCTGTGATTGGGTGGAGAACTCTTCTAAAACCCTGAATCACACTGAAACAGTCTTGACGCTACAAGTCATCATCTTTTTTCCTCCTTGAATGCACAACAGTTCACGTGGATGTTCACAACGAGGAGTCTGAATCCACGTGGGTCAAAAGTCTCAACTACATGGACTTGCAGGACTATCGCTATACTTCTTAACCGTACACGTGTATACACTTGTTTTTAGTATGTGTAGCATGGATGTAATCAAAAAACCAGTTTGTTTAGGCGTTTGCACATCCATACAAGACATTCAATAGGGATCTTACTCCAAGAGCTGAACACTACTGTCTGTAACACATCGGCCTCCCAAATCTTGACTCATTAACTCCTGCTTCTGCATTGATCATGTGACTCCACTCTCTTGAGTGTGATGCAAAAGGGGTTCAGGTTGGATAACCTGAAGTAGCTTGACCATTATAATGCCTTACTCATACCTTCTCCTTTATTTTTGGGTTTTGTGTTTACAGTTTTGCATGGATAAAAGTAACATATATATATAGGTTTTTGTGAGTATTGCTCAGATGGATAGTGAGTTGTTATTTTCTTACCTATCCTTGTGTTTGTCGTACATCATTCTGATGATTTTGTTTTTGATTTTCTTCTATAAGTCATTTTACAGGAATGAGAATGCATGTTGTTAAGTAATAATGCTTGTTCTTTGAATTTTAAATAATTTCCCTTTAGGATGTTTTAGCCATTGTTTCTTCTCACAGACTGCACCTGAATCAGTGCCTTATGTAATGAATGCGAAGGCGAGTGGAGTGTGCAGGAGTATTTCACACTCATACAGACCTAAAGGTCTTGGCACAGTGTGTGTGTGTGTGTGTGTGTGTGTGTGTGTGTGAATGCAGTGTGTGATTTGACTTAATGCACAGTTCCATACCAGCAAAAAATAAATGTTAAATGGATCAGCCTCTCCTAATCACCTGCTGTCCTCTTCCATCGCCTCCAGTGAACTAAACCAATGACATAATGTTACTTGCTGCTTCCCTGTTTTAATATCTTCTTAAGGTAATCCACAGTGTCCTAAAATCTCTCCTCATTTGCCTCTGTATCACAAGCGTTGCCTCCCCAGAGAATAATCTGAACTGTCCTATCCTCTCTTGTCTCGCCTCAATCTGGAAACCTGACAGCTTCTTCATCTCTCAGAGGAATAGAGCACAGTTCATTGTCTTTTATAGTAACTGTATGTTTATCAATAAAATGTTTTAAATGGGATGCTATCTGTTTCTTTATTTGGATTTACTTTCATGCTGACATCAACATAAACGATTTTGATTATGAGCTGTAATGTTATAGCCATGCCAAGTACACTTACTACGAGCTTCGACGCTGTTAAACGACGGTATGTGCTCCCTTCGAAACTCTGCGATCTCAGCGTTATTTTAGCAAATAACAGTTTTGTTTTTCGATATCGCGGGAAAACTACTTTACCCAGAAGCCTAAATTCCAGCGAGGTCTCTGATTGGTGCTGTTCGCTGTTACCATGGAAATGTTCAAATGTTTCAGGAAGGTCGTATTATATTTTATTACACACACAGAAACAAACAAAAATAACAAAATATATATAAAATGTTCTGAGACAGCACTACGTAAGCTCTTGGCATTGTAATCCGGGTTTTGTAGTACATTATGAGTAGTGTAGTGTGAAGGATGAGTCATTTCTTCACCCTTAAAACCTTCGCCTTTTTTTCATTTCCCACTTTAGAAATTCAGATCACAAGTTTTTTGTTCATAGTTCACCTCGTAGATGGATGAGTTTGTTTGAGGCTTAAAACTCTTTTCAATGAGCCTTTAAAAAACTAACTGGTTTTTACACCAGTAAACTTTTTTTCATATCCGGTCCGGTTTTGGCTTTACCGCAATCTGAAGTCGTTTTGATGTAATTATTTTTCGGTTTTAAAATTTAAAAAAAAAACGGAACTATTGAGCAAGTAGCCAGAAAACGGCGCCAAAAAAGGAAGGACCGGAAGTTTACTAATATTCACCTGACCTATCTGGCAAATAAATTGTAAGCCAATGTAGTTTGTTGTTGTTATTTTAAAAACGCTGAACGTCCGGACAGATGGACCCAAAGGGACCCTCGCTTTATGCAGTACGTACCTTTCAATCCACATTAAATTGATTGCCACGTCAACAGCGCGCTTGTTTCCTTATATTGATGTTTAACTGCACGCGGAAGTTAGCTTGTGAGCTAGCTGGCTAGTTGAAGCTGTCGGCTAAAAACAACACGATGAGACGTGAATTAGCTGCGACTCTGCTTCTTTTGTTCCGCAGCAGGTTTGTTTTGGAAATAATTAACTAGTAAATGTTTGCTCTATATATCTCTACCGAGTTCTTTAACTCATGAATATGTGCTCATTTCCCTTATTTTCAGTGCCGATATTGAACCGAGATTAAGAACTGAAACCCTATATTAGCTTCTTTTTTTCTTTTAGTAGCCAGCACAAGTGGTGTGGAGTAAGCACACCATAAGTTGTCTTTACGCTTCTAAGTGCCTAAACCTTGACTGACTAGCCTTAAATACTCGTTAGTTTTGCATACATTTTCGAAGTGCACACAAACCTTAAAGCCAGACCTGCTTGGTCTGCTCTCAAATTAATTGCAGACCTGCTTCTGGGTAAGTTTGGGAAGTTATTGTTTTCAGTCACCACTTATTACTTCTATCAGACCCAAAAGCCCATAGTGAATTTGAGATAAAAACCGTTTAAATTTGCTGCTTCTTCCTGTAAACAGCTGCTAAATCAACTCAAACTCAAGGATCTGATCGTACTTAATGAATTTAAGGTACTTTTAAGCGACCTGGCGGCAGTTGCATAAAGCATGTATGTGTTTGTTTTAGCAGGCAGGCTCCTCCGCAGATATGACACGAAGCATAGAGGAAGAGCCTTTGGTGGATGGGCCCCTGATCTCTGCGGATGCCCTCCACTCTGCCATCAGGAGAGAGTTTCAGACTGTGCCAACACACTGCCATGCCATCCTGCTGACTCTGCTGAATGTATGATATGCACACATTTGCACATACGCAGTGTTCACCAAGTCATTAAATACCAGTAAGTCTCAAATCCTCTACTCTCTTGTTCTTTTCAGGTGGTTTATGTTGTGTTGTCTGTCTGCGTGGCAGTGCTGTGTGTATTAAAATTCGGCCAAGAGGAAGTGTGTAAGAGTATTTTGGGGAGAGTCCAAGGCGACAGCGTCATCGTGTTCGCAAAGTCATGTTTATGGATTCTGGTGCTGGTGTTCACAGGCTGCGTGCATCACCACCACAGTCGTGCTCGGAGCAGAGGATACCTGCGGTTTTACAGACAAATGCAGAGGCTGAAACAGGTGCCGTTCATCATACACTCTGCAGGTACAACTTTTCATGAGGATACAGTGAATGAATCTGTAATGGGCAGTGTTATCCACAAGGTGGCAGTAATCCTAAAACATAAGTAAGTGTTTATATTTCTGTGTGTGTGAACAGGAAACGCTCTGCTTATGACTCTTCTGGCTGCGAGATTACCACAGACTGTACACGTCTACGTGCTGCTCAGTATTCTGGGATTTGAGGTCTTGTTGACATTGCCATACCTGCTGTATTACATAGGTAAAGTGATCTTATTTTAATGTTGAGTAAAAGAATCTCAATCGGGGATTTAAGATTGACCCTTTTGTAGGACTGCAGACAAATTTAAGGTTTCTAAAATAATGTATATAGACCTTTAACATCAAATACTCAGGCTTACATTCTGAAACACCAAGACAATTATTTTTTGAAAGATGAAACTCGAGCTCCTTGTTGCTAACCAATTAGTCTGCACATGTACTTGTTTTTTCCTACCTTCCCTGTCACATCTAAATAGTTTAACCTTGAAGTTGTAGAGTAATAAACCATTTTAAAAATCAAATATACATTTGAAAAAGGGTAGGTATAGACAAAATATACAGTTTTAAAATTCTTTATGAAGAAGAAACTGAAATATAAGTTCCTTTACGTACAGATCAGATAAACTCGTTGTGGTCAAACTTAAGTCTGGGTGTGGTTTGGGACGTGTGTGAATAAAGACAGAATACAATCATTTTCAACTTCATACACCAATATTTTATTCACAATAGAACACTGAAGATGAATGAAATGTTTAAAATGAGATGTTTTAATATTCTTAAAAAATCTCAGCTCACTTTGAATTTCTTCAGCGGCAACACGTCTCAAAAAAGTTGGGACCGGGAGAGCAAAAGGTTGGAAAAGTAAGTGGTGCTAAAATGAAACAGCTGCAAAAACATTTTCAACTAATCAGGTTAACTGGCAACAGGTTAGTGACTTTAGTATAAAAATGAGCATACTGGAAAAGCAGAGTTTCACTGATCTGCACAAAAACAGCATCTATAAATTGTGGAAAATTTTAAAAAATAATGTTCCCTGAATGGCTATATCTCATTTGGAGTACATTAAGAATCTGGGGAAATCTCTCTGTAGAAAGGAACAAGACTTAAAGTCACTACTGGATGGCTGTGAGCTTCAGGCCCTCAGCCAGCACTGCATTAAAAACGGATATACAATACCAGTGAATTCTGTTATTACATTCATCATCGTCATTATTATTATTATTATTATTATTACACAGCATCCCGTATTGTATATTAGCTGCAAAAAGGCAGCACATGGAAAAATAAACAGGAAGTCCATGCTTAGCTTAATCATTCTTCTTTTTTCTTTTTTTTCCTTTTTTTTTTTTTTTAACTGTTAAAGACATTTTCTTCTCTTTCCTAAAAAGTCGCCTGGCAATGAACGAAAGCTGTTTTCACTCATGCACTACAGCCCCTAAACCTTTTTTATTTTTTTTAAAGACATTTTTTGCCCTAATCAGTCGGGGCAGACATTAAACAGTCTTTAACCTGCCTGCTTTCTAGTAAAGTCTGTGTAATGTTTGACTGAATCTTTGTGGGAATAGAGCAAGTAATTGTCCAGAGAGTCTATCGCGAGCGAACAAGTGGGTGTCCTGTGTCTGCCACATGTAAGATAATGCACAGACCAGGTTTTTCCAGATATTTTCCAGAGTTTCATTGTGAAAACAACTCTTGACTAAATACCGAATATCAGTTTATTTTGTTTTGGTTTTTTTGATGTTTTTTTCTCAGATTAAAAAAAAAACAGCTGATATAAGACCTCCAGAGACGTTTGGGACTTTATCTCTACCACATTCACTGGCTTCCATACAGCTTGTAGAGTTTAATGTAATAACACTTTTTTACTGTTGGTTCTCAATCACTAGTTCATAATAAGAGTGTGTTTTTTGTGCTGCAGCATTACTTATTAGATAGCAGCTCTAACATCAGCTGTTTTTTATATTGAGAGGCACACCCTGTAGATTACATTACACACACACTACCCCCACACTGTGTCTTAGTGCGTTTGCATTACAATACCTGCCCTGCCCTTTTCAGACTCGACAGCATGACAATCAACCATTCAACTCTCTGTCCACCCTCCTCCTCTCTGCTGATCTGCTGATTCTTTGCTTCAGATTCAGCACGGTGTTTGCAGACTTTGAACACTGTCTGTGTGTCCACTGTGTGCGTTTCCTTTGCCTTAACCCTCAAGAACAAACTGGTTAAATTTAGCTATTGTTATTTAACCCTGTGATACACATTTCAGATTAAGTAGCTTTGGTAGCTTGTTGGCTCGAAGCAGCGGCTATTAACGGAAAGGTCCCTCACTGTGACGCTGCTTTTTGTAGTATAAAACTAATTGTTCATTAGGATGGTGAAACCAAACTAATCTACAAAATTTTTTATCATCTGGTTTTTTTTTTTGTTTGTTTGTTTTTTTAATGTCAGGTTAGCTAAAAGTTTGCTTTTTATGTAGAAACAGCCTTTAGAATCAGACTTGCAAACAGTGTGATGCATTTTTAAAAAGGCAAAAAATAAAAAGCACAGAACCATAATCTAGCCATGAAATGCATTAAATGCATGCTTTCCACACATGCAGTGAAATAAGCAGGTGATGCCGTGCATGCCTAAAACCAAATCAGTTTTCATACAGGAGGACCGGGTATAGTAGAAGACACTGCTGTGTTCAGATGGTTTTACAGGACAGAGACTCAGATTTACTTCATTTAATTGTACGTAAGTATTTTATAAGATGAAGCTATACACCGCGTACGTGCACAGCTGTAAATTAAGTCAACGCCTTATTTTAATATAAATCTCCAGAAATTCTTGAAATTCTTCCCAGTTTTCCATTTGAGGCACATCAAACTAAACTGTGTGGTAGCAGGAAGTCAAATTTTAGTTCAGGGGAAAGGAATCAAAAGCAGACGCACCCAAAGCAATTCTTAATTTTTTGATTTTATGAAGTAGTTCACTGATTTAAAATCTTCTTATGTGGTTCACTCATTCATGACGTGTCTGAGAAGAATAGAAGTTTTAAAGAAGGAAAGAAATTTTTTGTTTGTTTTGTTTTTAGTAAATAAGGCACTAAAAAGGTATCTGGTTTCATTTGGCAAGTTATCGGGGTTATACAGATTTGTTTTTCTGCCTTTGTTGAAGAACGGGGAGGAACCACAGGAAATGAATGAGAGAGATGTGACTAAAGCCCCCCCAGGTGCTAGTGATCTGGAGACGTTGTGGCTCATGGTTGGCATCTTAACCCCTAACAAACGCAACCGCTACATCCATCCACCCGTTTCTTTTAACTGCTTATCCAGATTAGAGGAACTGAGGCTTATCCAAAGTGTCAGAGGGTGAAGATCGCAGCAACATATGACAAAGATCTGTTTTTTTTAATCAATTGTGTGAATTCCAATTTGTCTTCAAAAATACCACGATGCGATATTGTCGTAATCGGCAGTTAACAGTATTTTGCCGTGTGTGTGTGTGTGTGTGTGTGTGTGTGTGTGTGTGTGTGTGTGTGTGTGTGTGTGTGTGTGTGTGTGTGTGTGTGTGTGTGTGTGTGTGTGTGTGTGTGTGTGTAGTCCTGCCTCCCTCTGAGTGAAAACTCCTGTTAAAGATGCTAAATCAGAGGATGCTGATATTGAAGAATCATGTGATGAAAGGAAATCCATATTAAAGTTGTGTTTGGCAGCTGAGGGGCACAGATGTGAGATGAAGATACCGAAGAGCCACAGAGAAAAGATTAGAGGCATTAGGATTTAACCTAGCCAAAGGGTAGCCCTCACCCCCTTCACCCTCTTCACCCATGGGAGACCCATGCACATTGTCCCTGTGTTTACAGTGCTGGTTTTTCAGTGTGTTTGTGTGTGGTGGGGGGTGTCCCTGGTCACCGGTTGCATTCCTGCTCAGATCAGTGCAGTCAGGCATAGCACAATCAGAACGATGCCTCACAGCACGAACCGAGCACAAACAGGCACCCTGACAGATCGGAGAGAGTCAAGGTGGCACCAGTGAGGTCGTGAAAAAGAAAATGAAAAAAGCAAACTCTTTTTCTTCTTTTTCTCAGAGAGAGATGTAATGCCTGCAGCCATAAAGTCCTCGTTCAACTTGTCTTTGAAGTGCGTGCCTGATTGTGATTGCGTGTGTGGGTATGTGTCTGTGCTCGTGTGTGTGTGTCTTTGAAGGTTTTCTGTATGTTTCGACCTCTCTCATTTTAACATGAATACCCTCTCCTCTATAGACCTCCTTGCACATCAAAGCCATGCCCCTGCCTTCAAAGGCCTACCTTACATCTCTCTCTTCTGGCTGACCAAGAACTTAGTGTAAGCACTGCAGGGCACAACAGAGACACACACACATTGATGCTGATAGCTGCAGTATAACCCGATCACACACCAACCCCATATACTGCATGATGGGGAGAAGTAAAACAAGACTGAATCACTTTTAAAAGATTCAAACCACATTTTTGATCAGGAGGTCCTCCATTATTTTATCATTATTACTATTATTATTATTATTTTAGAATATATTTGTTTGATGCCTGTCAGTGCAGACTACAAGTGAATATTTAATCTCTCACACCATTTTATGAATGATAAATAATCATCGATGTTTAATGCTTGGAATATTTTTCCCTGCAGGTAAATGATAAATGTTAATGTGCCTTTTTAATGCGCCTCATTCAACACACCTCGCTATATATAGTAAATGTGGGTCGGTTTGCATGAAAAATTACCCTGTGCTCATTGTTTGCAATACTGTGGCTTACTTTATCTATTTACTGATAGAAAAGACTCTTAGACAACATTACTCGTAAGGGAAAACATGCTCTCGGCTGACCTACTTGCAAAAGATCTATAGTTATTGGAAACTGAGCACTGGCGTTCTTCTTTCTACCCACTGATTGCTACACCGGAAGCCTGGGAGTTTTAGGATTCAGAGCAGTATCTTAGCTGTTCCCAGGACTGCACTGATCATCATCTCAGATGTTGAACCTGTTGTGTGTTCTCCTAGCCTAATATACCAAATTCCTCCACTCTGTCCACCATCTGTTCCACTGGTTCCTTCAGGCCCTGCTACTTCTCCGTCTTCTCGTGCTCCTTCTTTCTGATGTTATTGTCAGCTGGGATTACCACATCTGTCACAGCTGGCCTCCTCTGCTTCTCGTCAGCCACCGCTGTGTCTGGCCGGTTAGTCAGCAGCTGCTCGTGTGTCTGGAACTTGAAGTTCCACAGGGTCTCGGCTCTGCTGTTCTTAACCACTTTTTGCTACTCTGTGCCCGACTTTGATGTTTTTTCATAGCATATACTACACCTAGAAGACTTCACCGCTGCTTCTCTCTGTTATCTATATGCTTTCTGTTCAAAAGTGTGTTCTTGCTGGTTCCTCTCTGTTATGTGGCTAGGTCATGGTGCTGCATTGATGCTCTTTGGCTAAGAGAAGGAGGATTGTGGGAACTTTACCAAAGCTGTTATGCAGATGTACTTGCATGTGGTCCTTCAAAAACATTAAGAATCTCAAAGCTTTGTTGAAAAGCATCAAGTATGGCTTCAGTCAGTAGTTTTCATTGTTTTGCTTTGCTTCACTAGAAAGACTCTTGTGGTAACGCTTGTCTTTTCGTGGTAGAAGTTGTAACACCACAAACTTTAACAAGAGTAGCCCACATAACTGGTTGTGGGACATATTTTTGACACTGCCCCCTGCTGATGGTGCATAGCTACAACAATGTAGACGTGGGGTCTGCAAAGCCGCGCCGCACCGACACTTCCGGCGCACTACCATGCTGGGCGCATTCGCTCTTAGCACTTCTGCAGCTTTGCTGTTGTCACCTGGAAATGGGCCTTCCTGGATGGGTCATTGAGGCTTCTCAGATGCGAGCAGACCAGGCCTGAGCTCTGTCTGTCCAGCCGTGAGAGTCTGTAACAAGAACATGTGAAATGTATCACTTCCTTTACACTGCCCAATCCATCCATCCTGTTGTGTCTGTCTGTTGAAGTCGGAATTTTACTGAAGCAGATGCCTGCAGCGCTGACAGTGTGTCTGCTAAAACTAAATGTAAATACATCATTTTATGATGTTAATAAGATTTTTCCTGCCGCATGCAGTGCATGCTTTCCTTAGATTTATTTGCGTTGTTAAATGTTCTAATTAATGTAAGGTAAAACGGCTAAATGTTCAAATATATTTAAAGTAAAATGAAATCTGCAAAGTTTTCAGGGACATTTGTCCATACATCTGCTTTTTAAAAAAAATATATTTTTGAAAGGCATTTTTCGTGTATGAAACTTTTCTTTTAATTTTTTTTTTTTTTTTTAATTTAATATATGAAAGCGTTTTTGTGAGCTGGGAAAATGGTTGATTTTTTTTTCTCTCTCCTGGTATTGTAAATATTTCAGAGCAGTTTGTGATTTTTCTGCATCAAACAAAGGCTCATCGTGACATTTTGCCTTTATACCTTTTGCTTTTCTCTCCTCCACCTCATTTCTGAGGAATGTAGGAATCTCTCCCACAAATACTTACTTATTATTGCTTTATTTACTTGTGAGCACACACACACAGATTTAGGGCCTCATTATGCAGGAATGTGTAGCATTTCTTTGGATTGTGTGTGAGTGTTGATGTTGAGATGCTGCACTGTAGCAAAGTAAAGATAGTGCTCTTTAGAACCTCCCTGACAATTTCTTCTGGCTAATGACGCTCAAGTCTTATCAATACTCGGCCAGCTCCTCCCTTTGGCCTTCATCGCAGCCTCACCCATACAGGCTTACAGACGTACTCAAACCGTAGCCTTGTGACCCTAAAAACTCCTCCAGCACATATTTTGTTTGCAGCTTCTCTTACTGTAAACTATTGGACCCACCATACACACACCTTGCTGCTAGCACCACCCCTTAGTAAAGGTGCATGTTTAGGGTGTGAGAATTAGAGGTTTAAGTGCAGGATATGGCAGCCCATAAGAACTAACTGCAGGATATAACAGCCTCTATGTGTTTAGGAGAGTCAGAGGGATGAAAAACAATTTAAAAATTTTTTTAAAAGTGTCATGTTTCTCACCTAGGTGATTATCGTGGGTAGAAACCTGTCACTGCTCAATAATGTCTGTGTGCCTTTACAAGCAGTCGGCAGCATTAAAACTCGGGTTTGATGATTTTATTGCGAGGCTAAGAGCTTTTTGTTTGCTTTTCCAGTTAAAGTGATGCGGTTCAACAGAGAGCGCGCTGCACCAGATGTGAGCCAGGAAGAGCTTTCACACACCTACAGCGTCACCAACGCACCGACTGAGACGGGATTCAGGTACAGCAGTTTCACTCAGGCACCCACAGAAGTGTCGCTGTGCTCAGATTTAAGTTTCCTCTGTGGAGACACATGAATTGAATGAATGTGATTTTAAGCCATAGCAGCATGAGTTTCCATTTTAAAAGGGATCAGTTTAAGAGCATCTCCCGTGATCGGTTTACAATTTACCTCACATTCAGATGGTAAAGATTACAAAATAACTTTGGTAAAAAGTACAATTTTATGATGTTAGTGCTTGGAGATGCAGTCATGTGGGCCTGATGAGGCACAACATGAGACTTGGTGCATGTTTTACAGGCTTCCTTTGTGATCTTTTTGTTTGTTTGTTTTGTTTCATAGTGAATTAAATGTTTCAGTGAGTGAGGTGCTCTAATATGTGCAGACTTTAATTTCTTACTGAAACAAGCAAGCCCTGGCTGGTAGCATATGTTGCTTCCAAACCTGTGTATATACAATCAGATACCAAAACATGTGAGACAGGGTCATGTGTAGCATCCAGTCTTCTTTTAACAAGTCTGTAAACATCTGGGCACTGAGGAGAGGAGCTGCTGGAGAGGAATGTTGTCTCATTCTCGTCTAATACAGGATCCTAGCTGCTCAGTCTTGGGTCTTATTTTCCATTTAATGACTGGCCAATTTTAATTTTTTTATATTATGTTTTTTTTTTATTCGGGTAAGATCTGACCTGTAGGCCAGTTAAGCACCTGGACTCTTCTGCTACAAAGACATGCTGTAGCAGTAGATGCAGTGTGTGGCTTAGCATTGTCTTGCTCAAATATGGAACGTCTTTCACGAGTAAGACGTCACCTGGATGGGAGCACGTGTCACCCCAAAAGCTGCGTGTATACCTTTCAGCATTGATGATGGCTTTCCAAATGTACATTGACACTAATGTACACAAAAGATGCTTACTTTTGAACTGAGCGCCGAAGCAAGCTGGATTCTCCCTCTGCTCTTTGGTGTTGTCTGCAGAAAGACTTTCAAATTTCAATTCGTCTGACTACAGAACAGCTTTCCACTTTCCCTCAGTCCATTTTAAATGAGCTTCGGCTCGGAGATGATGGCGGCATTTTTGGACCCTCACACTCTTTTTGAAGATTTTGTAGACTTTTTTTTTTTTTTTTTTTATTGCTGCATAGTTTGAGAAATACTTGAGATAACCCTCAAGGCTGGTATTCTTGTATGAGGATCTTTTACAAACTCTTATTTTTGTTACAGAGGAAGCTCTAATCTGGAGGAGGTGGTGGAGAAACAGGCCGATCTGATCGAGTACCTGAAACAGCACAACACCATACTGAGCAAGAGGCTGCTCAACCTCACTGCACAGCACTAACCACAGTTTGGCCTCTTCCTCGATGCCAGACGAGGACACCCTCCAACACTCTGGGGAAAAAGAGCCTGATCATTTAACTCTACAAGGAATTTTAAAAAAGCAATTGGAGGCTTTAAAAGAAGGGGAAGCTGTGGGCAAATGCACCTGTACACACAGACTGAGTGAGAGGGCTCCTCTGTGGGGCATCTTCACCTGAAATGGACAGATAAAGGAGGAGGAGGTGAACTGAAAGCGGGAGGGCAGTTAAAGAGGCAGAGGGGAGAAGTCGTGGGTCACAGATCAGAGGTGGGCGGGGGGGTTATCACTGTGCCACGACCCCCGGTGACCCACGTGTGCTGCCGCTTTTTGTTGCTGTGAAAGAAACAGAGCGGTGAAATTGTTCTAAAGATCATCTTCACCGAGCAGGGAGAGGTTGTCACTTATCAGCATCAAACTAAACGAGAGCGGTTAAACCATGCTGTAAAACGTGTAAGTGCTTTTTATGTATCTAAAAATGTGTGTGCCGGTGGTTTATTTGGGGAGTGTGTTTCTTTGTTCAGTCACTGGAATAGTTTGTGATCAGATTTCAATAAATCTTTAATATTCTTGTGATTTTTAAAGCCCTTTCACTGCGAGAGTTGAGACTGTATCCAAGTATGTGGCAACTGCTTTGTTTTTGTCGGCGAGTGTTTATCTTGTGTGATGTGGTGCAAGAGCACGAAACAATAGAAACACAGCAGTGTCAACATCAGCTGGAGTAAATGCCTTCTCCCTCTTCGCTTAAAACTCCCAACAGTCACGGGACTCTACACTAATGAAATGTGGAGATTGTCATTTGAAGCCTTGGTGTTTGTTCCGCATTGTGTCTCCTTTATGCTCCGGCATCCGTAACTCCACAGGGAGCGCAATATTTACAAGGGCTTTCCCGTGTGGCTCCAGATGAGAGTGCAGATTTAATAGGAGGCCTTCAGGTAGCAGGATCCCCCGTTTGATACGGGGCATTTAACATTCATATATATATATATATATATATATATATATATATATATATATATATATATATATATATATATATATATATATATATATATATATATATATATATATACACACACACTTTTTTTTTTTTTAAACCTGTTTTGTCAAGAGTTAAGTGTAATCTGGATGTAGTGCATTGCATCTTTAACACAAACACAATCAAAACAGTTTTCTTTTTTGTTTTGTTTTTATTAAAAAGTAATTCAATAAACATCTGAACATACAATATAAACAATTTGTAGCTATACTAGGGGTATTTACAGCTCTTTGGTCCGCAGCTTTTTAAATCGATTATTGAATATACTTGATGATATTGATTAAAAGCTCTCATGCTATTTTCCCCGTTTTATCATTTGGAAGGAGCTCAAAACTGGCCGAGCCCAGCTCTGTGGTCGCCCAGCTGTTGTGGCTTTTCATGGTTTAATGAATATTCAGATTCTTGCTGCAGAAGCAGATACATGTACATTAAAGTCTGTGGGTGGCATCTTTGTGGAGTCCCATATCTCCCCTTCTTTCATGGGCTCCAGCCGTGATGTTTCTGCCACAAACTGCGGTCCATATTCACATTTCTCTCCTCGAGTCTTCCCCATTGCAGTTCTCCTGACCTGTAATGGATAAAAACAGCATTTAGACATAAAGTCACCTTGAGTCCCCTCTTTCACCTCCTCCCAGTTCAGTTTGTGAGATTTATGTCCTCTGTTCTTCGTAAACACTAATCACACACACGCTTTTCCTGACTGCCAACCTGCCGGCCACGTAGCCTGTTTTTGTTAGGCTCGGCTCATAACCTCCTGCTATATATGAACACATGCATGAGTGAATGTCTCTTACCTCAAGGGAAGGGTACTCTGGAGTGCAGAGGCAGGCAGCGTCTGTGTGGGCAGTGGTGTCTGTGGTATTTTTTCCTCAGGTTCAAGAAATCTGGAGTAAAAGAGATGGTTTGATTGTAGATGTAAACAGATATTTAATTAAATTAGACTGCTATCAGGCAAAAAGCTGCCCATTCATGCGGTCTGCAGGTGGATGCCTGGCATATATAATTTTGAACCTTCTGCAACTCTATAACCTCTCCTGACCACTTTAAGAGTTTCTTTTTTTTTTTATTGCAACCCATTTACAAACAGCTGGGACACACTCACCTAACACGTGATTATTTTTATACGTCCCTAATAAATCCAGACTGCCAGCCAAGCCCAGGAAGAGATAAACCGCCAGATGACTTTATGACTCCCCTCCCACCCTCTCTGCCTGTACCTCTGAAAGAAGCTGCCCCCCACCCCACCCTGAAGGTAGCCTGCTTTATACTTGCCACTGCTACTCCATGTCATGTAAATAAAGCACGGGTATTTGCATGAAGTTTTAACACTGTCATTAACAAAAGCGCTCCGGAGCGCCTTCCAGCCGGGGACAAAGGGCCCACCGGTCCGCTTTGCGGGTACCCCGGCGGCGCTCCGCTGTCCTCCACTCCTCCTTTTATCCTCTCATCATCGTGTCCTCGCCATCAGCACATGAACCTATATCACGACCCGAGGCACAAAACCTCCCCCTTTAACAGCAGCCGCCCCCTCCCCTTTTTTTCTTTTCTTTTCTTTTTTTTTTTTTTTTTTTTTTGCATCTGCGCAAAGATAACCGCAAAAAAAGTCGAGAATTTGCGGGGGAAAGCGCACCTGCTACGAGGCAGGAACACTAAAACGTTTTTTTTCCTTATTACAGATGGGGGGTACTTATTTGTGGTCAGGCTAAAAGGAGGCTTTAAAAAGTGCTTTTCCTGCATTATGCGAAATCAATAAATACCGACACTTAATTATCAGTGTCACTCAGCTGTAATTTGTTTATGAGACTGGAGCCTTTGAGCTGAGGAAGCTTGATTCCACCACTAAAAGTTTCATTTATTTATTTCCAAATAGTCAAAAAAAAAGTTTGACCTAATAACTCAAAACTGAGAAAAATAATTTCAAGTTACCGGGTGAAAATCTTTGAGATAATAACTGTAAATATTGACTATTTAACTTTTTCACAACAATTTTCACAACAAGCAGTGAATGCATCACCACTGTTATAAAGAAGTAACGTCCAACATCCCGTCAATAATTGGCCGTCAAATTATCTCGCGCACTTTTAACATTGCTTAGGTTAAAACAGAAAAATAAAATAAACTTTTCTATTAAAAGTTTTAAGTCTGTTTAACTCATAGGGTTAAGCTAATCTGTTTTATTAGTGACAGTTAACTATAGCTAACATAGTCCAAGCTTGTTGCTATGGATGCGAGTTTAAGGGTCAGTGCGCAGTGATTCAGAACGCTGCTGACCGGGACTATGTTTTGGTCCATGTAACTGGTTGTAAAGCTTTATTTATGTATTTATTTTTGTACCTAGCAGACATTACTAACGTTAACGTTCAGATTTATAGGCGTCCCCCTTTAAATGGACACCTCTGGGTGGTGAAGTCTGAGGACGCTTACCTGGCTTGGCAGAGGAGACCGATGCTGCCATGACTGCGAGCAGCATGAGAAGGTAGAGCAGGTTGAATATCCTCATAGTTAGGTGGCAGCTGGTTTCAGGAGCTGAAACTTATGATAATTTTCACAAATAATTCCGGAGAGTCCCTGTAGCTCAAATCCGGACTGGACTGGAGATGCTGAGTGTCTTTCAGATTTGCCCCTCTTCTCTTTTCAGTCAGAAAATCCTCCTCTGGGAGAATCCAGTACGAACAAGTAGATCTCTTCTGAGGATAATCGCTATGTCCCTGAAGGAATGTGTGTGTCCAGAGTGATTGTCTCTGTGTCTGAGAGCGAAGTGACAAAGGTGCTTCTCCCCCTTCCTCCTTTATACAGCCTTTTTTAGAGGGAGGGGGGTGGGTGGGTAGTTCCCACAACAGCCCCCCCCCCCATACACACACAAACTCTCTATCCCTCAAACACACACACACAAACACACATTTCGGCACATATTGACCCCACATGTAGAGGGGTAATTCAAATGACAGGAAGCCCCCTCCGTGCACCCTGAACTGCCCCTTGAACACACACTCATGCTGCATGCTGTATTTTGTGTGCGCAAGTGGCTGATATTTTCAAAGAGAGCGGAGTGAGCAGGCAGGGAAGATTTATCACCTGTAACATTAGAGCAAAGATTTAAGAAGCTGTGACTGGAAATAGCAGGTCCTCCAAGAACCAGATCCCGCCTAGCTCTCTCCTGCCCCCCAACAGATGAAGACACACACACACACACACACACACACACACACGCGCGCGCACACGCGCGCGCACACACACACACACACACATATATACATCTGGAGCTTTTGGGTGTTGAGGTGGTGGGGGCAGCGGTCCTCTGAATGAAATCTAGGGGACGGCAGACTAATGATGGCCAAAGACGTCTTAACTGTCTGTGTAGATCTTGTACTGTCTCTGAGTGACAGCATGAAGGCCTGCCTCTGTAATGTTGGCTTTTAGTTGGTTGTTTCTCTCATCACATGGATAAACCATTACAGTTAAAAAAAACAACCCACAATATCCAGGTGAACTTGATAAATATCTTATAGCACAAGGATAACCAGAGAAGTAAACAAAGCATTCTGTGGCTAACTTATATAAAGATTGTTTAGTTATTCTTATTTTTCTGGCGTCATCCGATGAGAGGGAGCAGCAGAACCTCAGCAAGGATTTTTAGAGTGGGAAGGGATAAAGTCTGGATTTTTAACTGCATCACAGCTTTTCCCACTGATAAAATACATTATTATTATTATTATGCCAAAAATGATTAAATAATCATTAAATAATATATTTTTTTACAATGGATCCACGGTGAAATTAAAAATGAATACATAAATCAAATAAAGCAGAACTTTGCACATTTAAAAGCCCAAAGAGTGGTGCTGACAGGTTTTTCATTTACAATAGCAGCATTTCTCTCGGCTTTGCTTCTTTTGTTTGGTTTTGGTAAAAAGAGTCTGTATTGTATAAGCGCTGTTTTTATTATGCCACATTCCAAGAAATATCCAGCCCTGCGTGGGTATCCGGGTAGCCCATCGTTGGGGTTTCCTGCAGCAGGTAACCCACTTCACTTGGCATTAGCTCTGCAGTCACCGGCTGCGCGCGGGGGGGACTCATTAGTGTGTCTGCTGACGGCCGTCTCTGTGGACTGAGTCTCTCCATTCAGCACCCAGCTAATGAATTAACACATTAAGATGAAATGTCAGCCGTTACATGTGAATGAGGATTAGAGGAGCAGCAGGACACTAATGGACCGCAGGGCTTGAAACAGTCAGAGAGTCTCTGAACGAGCACCTGGGCCGTCAGCTCCTTCAGCTCTCAAGAATAAAGCCAAGGCCAGGGTCTTTGTGTTTTTTAGTGTTGTTTGTCGGTGTTGCATTTTCAAATGTTGCCTTTTATTGCTTTATGATGTTTGCAAAAATGCTCCTTGAAATGACAGAGATTCTTCCCCAACAACACACAAACACACACATTCATCCTGCTGCAAACACTCTGCTGAGGTATGTAGTTTGTTTCTGTGGTGAGCTGCACTTTGCATATCAGCTGCCTTTGTCATTTAAAAAACTTTTATTTTCCC